TTTCTCTTTCCATGTGTATCTATCTTCCAGTGGTGTGGTCCCTTCATTTTCATGTGTCAGGTTTTTTCAGTTCATTCCCTGCAAGACTGGACTCTCCAACTTTCTGATCCCATTCTTATCATCTTTCACCTCTATCTATCAGTTAGGTGGATAACGTTTCTCAACATTGGTTCATCTGCTTTTCCCTTCCTCTAGGTCATTCTAATGTGACCCTTACTTTTTGGCCCTTTTCACTTCTTATGTTTTGCATTTCCATTTATTTTTTTGTCCTTTCCACTTTATTCCTATCCTTCCTTCTTCACTTGTCCTACTCTCTTGCCTGACTGGAACTTTGCAGTTTTGACACTCTTCCATGGGTTACGTTTGAGTCATTGACTTCATGTTTATTTTTCATCTTTCTTCTTTTTTGCCTATTGTTGTTACTATCCAGATGTCTATGCCTTCAATAAATCCTGCATTCTCTTTTACTGTACTTCCTCTATCCCAACAGATCTTTATTTATAACACTTCAGCTGCTCAGGTGGATGATTGTCCTTTCATGTTTTGTTCCATTAAATTCGTCTACTGTTTCACTTTTTTACATCTCATGCTCACTAGTCCTTGGACGAGATTCTTCAGGCTGCACACATCGATCTCTGTTTTCTTCATCTGGCTGTGTCATATCTTGCAGGGTTTCCATTCACTATAGTTGCTGTTCTTCACTACACCTACACACCATCTTTGGTAAGGGTAAGTACATTTTACTTGTCAGGGCCTTTTACCCCTTTCTTGGATTCTGCCAGGTGGCTGGTGTTGCCTCCTAAGGTATGCTTATTTTTCAAAACCCACATTTGGCAAGGGGTAACAAAGTGCTCAACCCATCTACTCTGGCTCTATCAGTGCCCACTGTGAGACAAGGTGTTCCACAAGACAACTAGAGGTATCTTCGTGGCATACAGTTTTTCTCACTTGTCCAATCCAAACTGTACCATCTCCATGTAGAAAACCAACACCAAGGAAGTGACTGACCACTTTTTTGGTTCTCGCTTGCCCGCTTTTAAGAATATGGTTTCACAGTCACACATTGCACTTTCTCCAGTAAAATACCATTCCAACTGGTGCTCTGATGAAGTTCCATGGACTCTTTTGGGGGCTCCCCAATGTGGATTTATCTCCATCTTCTTCAAATGGAGCACAGGAGACCCTTGCCACTTATAAGTTTCTAGCTACTAGAGTGATGGACATGAGAGAATCCTCAAGAGCTGGGCTTTGCACATTATGGGGAGAAGTAGGGTGGTAGTGACACTATCAATGTAGTACGGGTCACCCACTTTATGGTCTGATAGAACCTGAACCACACTACACATATTGGCTCACTGACAGCTTGTGTACAGATGCTTTGTTGGCCAAGTTCAAATTCCACCCTCACTTGGGATTCTTTTGTCTCTCCCCTTTCATCTCGGGCATAGAGTATATCCTGGTCATGACAAGATGAGGTCTCCCATGTGTGTGTGTGCCCCTATGGAGCCTCTGTCATTGGGTGTCACATTCCATGGGCTTTCCCATTGGATACTTTCTGAAGGGAGTTCATCTAGATTTAAAATTTGCATTAGTCCCTCCACCACTTCAATTCTGTGTGAGGATTGAGGTATCATCTTAGAAGTTCACATTTTACTGTACAGAAAATATATTTCCAATGGAGATCTCTACACACATTCCTAACCAACCTCCCCACTTCTGGCATATTCTTTCTTGTCTCATCTAAAAATGAAGTTTTATCTCACGTGCAAGTGTTTAAATGGAGTTACTGCACATGAAGGCTGTGCTGCCCTGCTATTGATAGAGGGCTATTTTTTGTATGATGATGTTATCATGCACCAGTACAGTTCATGTTAAGCACATGAATTTAAGGGGGATTTAGTTGAAGGTTAGTTGCATGCTAGTCTCTGGCATATATATTGAAAATATAGCAATTCTGTGTGAGGTGGTGAGTATCTTTCAGTATTGTAAAATGTGAACTTTAAAGTCAACATGTGCTTAGGAATGAAGCTTGTTTTTCAAGGGCAGCTTGGTAGTAATGCATACTTTCAAGCATTGTCAGTTTACATTTATAACCCTGAGCTTTACATAACTTTTGAAAAGAAGTTTGAATTAATCCACCTGCCTTTTGAAAATTTTTGTAACTACAATTTCTATTACTGGTAGCAATTGTATACATCTAGATTCTCCTTGGCCCAGAGATGGACTATATGAGCTTGTATTCAGATTACCACTAGCAGCCTATGGAAGCAGATACATTTAAATTTGGTTAATCACAGGTCAATCTGTTAAAAATAAATGAAAACCTATCATTTTCTTAAATTACCAATAGATTTGTGCCATGACTCATTTTTTATGTATAATTGCCAACATATAAAGTCCTTCAATATCAATAATAATTAAATTTGAAACAAAAATAAGTACAGGAAAAAAAATAAAACAAAATTTTATTAAATCACAATAATAGACATGAAAGTTGCAAAAATATTTACAAATGCTTGTTGCTGGCTTTCAAGTTTTCATGATATAATGATGTTTTTTTATATGTTCGTTCATATCATAGATGCCTGATGCTGTAACTTTAATATCATGATTGTGTTTTGTGTATGTAGCATTATTTTCTCTCACACACTGCATTTGACAGTCACTCTTAGAGGGAGATTCCATTTTGAAGAAAAGGACGTGCCTTTGATACAATTAGTCATATACTATGATACATTTGTGATTCACTGGAAGGAACTGAATAGGACCCCAAATTATGATAAAGATGTAATGATACTTATTTCACCAAAAACAAAACTCAAGCATGAAATTGAATCCCTAGTTAACAGTCATACATTCATAGGCTTTCTAAACTAATAGTGTAGTCACTACAGTCAACTTGTAGTACTTGACAGATATTCATATTAAGCACCTCACCAGCTCATCAAAGTTGTCAGAAACTAACTCCTAACCATGTATAAAACAAACTGAAAATCATTCACTAATCCAATCCTGACTTACAAATTAATAATAAAAAATAACAGCTGTAAAATAACAGCTTCTAATGCTTTATAAGTTAATCCATTATAAAACTTAACCCTTCTGTTACTTAAATTAAAATGCCTCAACATAGATGAGTCTGACATTTCCAAATCATTTACCCACACATGTAGTCAACAGCATCAGTAGTAATGTTTTATTCCCCATCTGAACATTATATTAATTAACTAGAACACTATTTTTCACTCTCTTTACATTACAAATTATTTAACTTTTCAATTTAGTTTTTCTCATATGAAAATAGTAAATCAGTTTTGTATGCTACTATAAAAACACCAAGCACAGCTTACAACTGAACAAAGTAGAAGGCCAAATTCTGCTGTTTTAAAGCCTGGTTCAAATTTTCAGTTACTCCTTTTAACTTCCAAATAAATACCATGTACCAAAGCATAAAAAATCATTCACTCTTACTTTTACAACAAGGTTTTTAACTTGCACATTATTACAAATGCAGGGAGAAAACTGGTGAGACCAGGAAACTATCTTAACAATGTATTTTTTGTTATTAATTGATTAATTCTTTTTTGAAACTGTTTTACTTTTGTCATATGACAAATTCAGATTTTTATCCAGGAAGTTAGATAAATGATCATTCTGAAAGATATTACAATTATTGCTGAATTGTACACAAAGAACTGATTAAATTGTTATTTTATGGAATCTGAAGCAAGAATATTTTGCTCTATGAAATTTTTGAAATGTGATTTTTTGTTTTTACATTGAGTACATTTTACTCCTAAGATATCACGCCTAAAAGTCATCATGTGGAAACTACATGACAGACAGGAAATCTGAAAACAAATGTCTCCCATTTTCAGCAAGGGACAATAATGTGGAAGGGAAGAAATGTTCACATGCTGTTCCTCTTGTTTAGTTCTCCAGGGCTCAGCAGTATGTCTATAGATTTACATTGCTAAAAACTGAGTTTCGATATTTGTGGTGAGCACAGCACAGATAGCCCATTGTGTAGCTTTGTGCTTAATTACAGATAAACAAGCAAAACCTTATTAATTAACAGTACTGATGAAGGAAACTTTTGTATTTTCAATGACTATTAAGTGTTTGGTAAACTGTCAAAAAAAAGTTGTGTCATCTTTTGTGGTGTAATCCTGAGTAAGACATTGCTGCTATTCTCACATGTTGTAGCAGAGCCCAGTCTAGGCTGTGCCATTAACCATTGGTTTAAGCATAAAAACTAATTTCATGACATAGAACAAATTGTCAAAACACTTTCTATTCAAACTTGTGTGCAGTAGAACAGTGATTCTGAACGTGGGGCACACGTTTGAGGTGGAACATGGAGCAAGAAAGGTTAAGAACCACTGCAGTAGAACAGTGATTCTGAACGTGGGGCACACATTTGAGGTGGAACATGGAGCAAGAAAGGTTAAGAACCACTGCAGTAGAACAGTGATTCTGAACGTGGGGCACACGTTTGAGGTGGGACATGGAGCAAGAAAGGTTAAGAACCACTGCAGTAGAACAGTGATTCTGAACGTGGGGCACACGTTTGAGGTGGGACATGGAGCAAGAAAGGTTAAGAACCACTGCAGTAGAATTTTCATGTTATCTATTCAGCCAATTTTATTTTACCTTGCAACTTAATATTTCAATGCAAATAATATATAGCTATACCATTTACAATATTTTGATTTCATATATCTTTATTTTTAATGGAAGTACATGTACTCAACACTGTTACTTATAAATATATTACATTTTCTGCAACAATAACAAACTGTTTTATTTTAATATCTGTAATCCTTTTGGCAATTGCAGAAAGTTTCGAAGATTAGTTTTGCAAAATATTTTGAAAGATGCAAGATTATAAAACATTGTCTGATTTATAATGATAAATATAAGTTCATAAAACAATTAACTGATGCAAGACTGAACAAGAAATACCATATATGTAGTTAAATGCCTCATTTTTTTTTCAGCTTTCTGTTTTGCTGTACAGTTACATACCAAAGAGAGCACTGGTGCTGCTCTAGCGTTCAATGAAGATGTGGCTGATGAGGTAGTACTTAGTTTTAGACTTGGAAAAAATATTTATTTAATTTTTCAGTGTTGGAATTGTACATCTATGAGATAGACAGACAAACTCTTAGATTATGGTATTATCTTGGCAAGTGTGTAGGTGTAATTTCTGTTAGAGCTGTTGTGGTTCTGCAGCTAATGTCCACTGAAGTCAAGAAAACACATTCAAGGATGGTAGAAGGTAGTTTACACTTAGAATCTTTAAAATTAGTCAGTCCAAAGTAAGTAAATACAATGATAAACAAGAATTTTGAGTATTTGAAATGGATAAAGTAAATAAACTAAATAAAAAAAGACTGCTAACTTTTACAAAATTTTTATCTTACTCCTCTGGAAATTTGCTTTATTGTATTAACTGTTATTACTACTTCAAAATGTTTGGCATTAAACTGACAGAATTAAAGAGGATAATGGTAATAATTTATTTTTTGAAACCTGGAAAGAACTCATTGCAGATAGATTATAAAGTTTCCTATCAACAGCTGAATTTCATGTAGTTTTTTGAAAGTTTTTAACCGTCATAATTTATTGAGTTCAAACAATCTTTAAAGAATAAAGTACTTTGTCTTAATTGGGTATTTTAGGATTTAAAACATAAAATACTTCTACTTATTTCTGTGACTTATTATGTGGTACTTTCATGTAAAGAAATACATTTTTCTCATTTTGTTTAATTTGTTGGAAACTGGAGTTAGATTTTAGATTTTTAATGCAGAGATCTGTATACTTAGTGTATTCATTCTTTTTAGTTTAAGCATGCCAGGACTTTGTGTTTAGGATGCTCAACTTGAAATCTGTGGATCATGAGATTAAAACCCAGAGATAAATATGCTCACCCTTTCAGCTGTTGGGGTGTTATAAAGTGATGGTCAATCCCACTATTCCATAGTAAAAGAGTAGCCCAAGTATTGGTAGTGGGTACTGCTGGAAGGTTGCTTTTCCTCTGGTCAGATGAAAAAAGTTGTGGCACATAGCCTTAGAAACTTTGCATAAACAAAAAACACTTTTTGATTTTATTAAATAAATCTCTAAGCATGAATTAATTATAAAGCTCGCATTAAAATAATGTGATGCAAAGCAACTTTAAAATTTATGTAATATTATAAAAGTAAATTTCTGAAACAAATATATGTATATATATATACAATGAAGTTTTTTTTTTTTATATATAACATCTCAAAATTCTTTGTTTAATCATTACTGTTTGAGGAAGGCTTGCTTATGATAAATTTATCCAGTAAGACCAGTTTGATAGGATTTCATTATTATTAAGTTTAAATTAATTCTGGGATTTAATTAAAGCTAAATCTGTGTACAATTTAGTGTACAGACTAATTTATGAAGGAGTCATTTTTTCATATTTAAACTGCATTATTTGTAAATGATTACTTTTAATAAGTGTGTACAAATGGTGCAGCAGAGTTAATTATTTAATAGTCTCACTAATTACAATTATAATGTTTTAGAAATCCCCATGGATTGAAGCAGATTCAGAGCATGTTACTGTTAAAGGAGGTGTGATTGTTCCTTTGCGAGCTGCAACCACATGTCTAGGAAAGGTATATAAAAGATACATTGATTAGAAACAAGAAAAAAAAATATAGAGAAAGTTTGTATTATAAAACTGTGAAATTACTAATCATATTTCAATTATAGTTTCACTATGCAACAGTCAACTTCAACCTCTAGTTTCAAAAACCATACTAACTAAAAATATCCATATCAAACATATGGTCTGAAATTTGTTAGACGTACAAAATGAATCTTACAGCAGTTTCTCCTTGCCCCAGAAATTCTTTAATGAAAATAGATACAAGTTTTTCCTTAGACTGCCTAAAACTCTCATGAAATGTGCTTAAAGCATTAGTGATTTTGAAGGCATTTTATCTGTGTGTGTGTGTGTGTGTGTGTGTATATATATATATATATATATATATATATAC